TCAAAATTGACTGCTGGGACTGGGTCCTGGAAGGCATTGCGCGTTCTAGAATGCAATAGTATAGACATGTAACAGCAGTAATATATCACAAGTATCAGGAAACCCATTTACTACTTATTGCCTGGCCAAGCCGGCGCAGGACGAAGGGCCATTGCTTCGAGCATCCAGGGCAGTACAGATTGCCTGGACTACGTTGGCGAAGTTGATACCAACCAAGAGTTTGGAGGCTTGAGTCTGAATCCGAAAAAATAGATCTGCAGGGTTGTTTTCCTCATTCCATCTACCATTTCAATGGTATCGTATCTTATTTAAGGCTTATTTTGTGCTTTTCAGAGTTTGAAAAAACAATGAAAATCATTGAAGACAATTAAAACTAGTGAAAAAACATTGAAAAGACACTGACAAACATTGAAATTCAATGAAAACTAATGAAAAAAACATTGGAAAATGAAACAACAATAAAAATTGAAAAAACATGAACAAACAAATGAAAAAGTTTCAGAAAACAATCAAAAAAACATACTTTGAAAATAAACATGAAAAAACAAAAACATGAAAAATCAGAGAAACTTTCGGGAAATCCAAATGAAACACAAAATAAGGCTTAAATCCTATGACATTATGAATCACACATGGGTATATGTTGCATATTTTGGAAAGAAAACTCGAAAAATGCAAAGTTCTGGGTTCCTTGCCTGTTTTTTGGGAGTTTTGGTTGCAGTTTCTGTCATCCAATGCAAGAAGAGACCTTTTGAGAGTCTTATTTGTTGAGAAAGGTGAGGCAGTTTACTGCCCAGGGTTGTTTTGAGCCTTATGTTGTTCTTATTCAATTTTGGAAGTCGTTTATCCCGACGCCGCTCCATGGGAACAAAGAGAGCATATGTGACATATTTTGGAAAAAAAAACTCAAAATTGCTCAGTTTTGGGTTCCTTGCCTGTTTTTTTTCGAGTTTTGGTTGCAGTTTCTGTCATCCAATGCAAGAAGAGACCTTTTGAGAGTCTTATTTGTTGAGAAAGGTGAGGCAGTTTACTGCCCAGGGTTGTTTTGAGCCTTATGTTGTTCTTATTCAATTTTGGAAGTCGTTTATCCCGACGCCGCTCCATGGGAACAAAGAGAGCATATGTGACATATTTTGGAAAAAAAAACATCAAAATTGCTCAGTTTTGGGTTCCTTGCCTGTTTTTGTTCGAGTTTTGGTTGCAGTTTCTGTCATCCAATGCAAGAAGAGGCCTTTTGAGAGTCTTATTTGTTGAGAAAGGTAAGGCAGTTTACTGCCCAGTGTTCTTTTGAGTCTTATTTTGCTCTCATTCAATTTTGAAAGTCGTTTACCCCGACACCGCTCCATGGGAACAAAGAGAGCATATGTTACATAATTTGGAAAGAAACCTCAAAAAATGCAAAGTTCTGGGTTCCTTGCCTGTTTTTTGGGAGTTTTGGTTGCAGTTTCTGTCATCCAATGCAAGAAGAGACCTTTTGAGAGTCTTATTTGTTGAGAAAGGTGAGGCAGTTTACTGCCCAGGGTTGTTTTGAGCCTTATGTTGTTCTTATTCAATTTTGGAAGTCGTTTATCCCGACGCCGCTCCATGGGAACAAAGAGAGCATATGTGACATATTTTGGAAAAAAAAACATCAAAATTGCTCAGTTTTGGGTTCCTTGCCTGTTTTTTTTCGAGTTTTGGTTGCAGTTTCTGTCATCCAATGCAAGAAGAGGCCTTTTGAGAGTGTTATTTGTTGAGAAAGGTGAGGCAGTTTACTGCCCAGGGTTGTTTTGAGTCTTATTTTGTTCTTATTCAATTTTGAAAGTCGTTTATCCCGACACCGCTCCATGGGAACAAAGAGAGCATACATATTTTGGAAAAAAAAACATCAAAATGTCTCGGTGGGTCATTGTCGGCGAGAAGAAAGTTCGTCTCCTCCGTGCTGCCGAGCTGGGATCCGAGACTGATGACAGTTTCAGGCCTGGCAAGGAGTTTGAAGTTGTAGAGGAAGTGCTTGTGGGAGACCGCAAGTTTCTGCGGCTGCCAGATGGCCGCTTTGTTTGTGAGCGTTCGCGCAAGGAGATCAACAAGGTGGTGGTGAAGCGCCTGGTGGGTGGAACACAGAGCCAGCTCTTCGCCGTTGGCCAGAAGGAGAAGGTCGTCATCAAGCAGAAGACAAAATCACGGCATGGAACAGTTGTCAAGCTGAACCCTTCCAAAGCATTAGTCGAGGTCAGTGAGGGAGGCCAGGATCGGAGCTACTATGTTCCGTACGGGATGCTGTCCAAGGAGGAGCAGGCAGCCAAGGCCTCGCAAGCGAAAGCAAGACCAAAAGCTGCGGTGAGGCAACCAAAGGTGAAGGTGAAACCGGCTGCGAAGAAGGACCTCCGCATTGCCTGTGTTTTTCGAGTTTTGGTTGCAGTTTCTGTCATCCAATGCAAGAAGAGACCTTTTGAGAGTCTTATTTGTTGAGAAAGGTGAGGAAGTTTACTGCCCAGTCTTCTTTTGAGTCTTATTTTGCTCTTATTCAATTTTGAAAGTCGTTTGCCCCGACACCGCTCCATGGGAACAAAGAGAGCATATGTTACATATTTTGGAAAGAAACCTCAAACAATGCAAAGTTCTGGGTTCCTTGCCTGTTTTTTCGAGTTTTGGTTGCAGTTTCTGTCATCCAATGCAAGAAGAGACCTTTTGAGAGTCTTATTTGTTGAGAAAGGTGAGGCAGTTTACTGCCCAGGGTTGTTTTGAGCCTTATGCTGTTCTTATTCAATTTTGGAAGTCGTTTATCCCGACGCCGCTCCATGGGAACAAAGAGAGCATATGTGACATATTTTGGAAAAAAAAACATCAAAATTGCTCAGTTTTGGGTTCCTTGCCTGTTTTTGTTCGAGTTTTGGTTGCAGTTTCTGTCATCCAATGCAAGAAGAGGCCTTTTGAGAGTCTTATTTGTTGAGAAAGGTGAGGCAGTTTACTGCCTAGGGTTGTTTTGAGTCTTATTTTGTTCTTATTCAATTTTGAAAGTCGTTTATCTGGACACCGCTCCATGGGAACAAAGAGAGCATATGTGACATATTTTGGAAAAAAACCTCAAAAAATGCAAAGTTCTGGGTTCCTTGCCTGTTTTTTTCGAGTTTTGGTTGCAGTTTCTGTCATCCAATGCAAGAAGAGACCTTTTGAGAGTCTTATTTGTTGAGAAAGGTGAGGCAGTTTACTGCCCAGGGTTGTTTTGAGCCTTATGTTGTTCTTATTCAATTTTGGAAGTCGTTTATCTGGACACCGCTCCATGGGAACAAAGAGAGCATATGTGACATATTTTGGAAAAAAAAACATCAAAATTGCTCAGTTTTGGGTTCCTTGCCTGTTTTTTTTCGAGTTTTGGTTGCAGTTTCTGTCATCCAATGCAAGAAGAGGCCTTTTGAGAGTGTTATTTGTTGAGAAAGGTGAGGCAGTTTACTGCCCAGGGTTGTTTTGAGTCTTATTTTGTTCTTATTCAATTTTGAAAGTCGTTTATCCCGACACCGCTCCATGGGAACAAAGAGAGCATACATATTTTGGAAAAAAACATCAAAATGTCTCGGTGGGTCATTGCCGGCAAGAAGAAAGTTCGTCTCCTCCGTGCTGCCGAGCTGGGATCCGAGACTGATGACAGTTTCAGGCCTGGCAAGGAGTTTGAAGTTGTAGAGGAAGTGCTTGTGGGAGACCGCAAGTTTCTGCGGCTGCCAGATGGCCGCTTTGTTTGTGAGCGTTCGCGCAAGGAGATCAACAAGGTGGTGGCGAAGCGCCTGGTGGGTGGAACACAGAGCCAGCCCTTCGCAGTTGGCCAGAAGGTCGTCATCAAGCAGAAGACAAAATCACGGCATGGAACAGTTGTCAAGCTGAACCCTTCCAAAGCATTAGTCGAGGTCAGTGAGGGAGGCCAGAATCGGAGCTACTATGTTCCGTACGGGATGCTGTCCAAGGAGGAGCAGGCAGCCAAGGCCTCGCAAGCGAAAGCAAGACCAAATTGGGCACGGCGACGGCCGATGACCTGACCCTGGAACGGCGAGAGGAAGGTCAGTTGGGGTCCCCATAGCAAAGTAGTGAGACTACGGCTGATAACCTGTATATTCACAGGTCAGCCACCAATTAGGTATTACAACACTAATGGGGTGAACCTACAAACCGCTCAGCTCCTGGTACTTTTGAACCAACGCTACCGGGTAGATCGATGACATATACAATACATGGTTTTACTGCAGGAGTTTTTACATGAGGCTTATTTTGTGTTTGTTATATTTTCCCATGTTTTTCCGATTGCTGCGAACCAAGCACAAGAGCGCCCATCTTCAGCTACCTTTGAACTTTGCAGGTCCATTTTCATGAATCCATGTGTGATTCATAATGTCATAGGATTTAAGGCTTATTTTGTGTTTCATATGGATTTCCCGAAAGTTTCTCTGCCTTTTCATTTTTTTGATTGTTTTTTCAAAGTATGTTTCTTTTTTTTGTTTATTCAAACTTTTTCATTCGTTTGTTCATTGATTTTCGTTTTTTCAAACTTATTCATTTTTTCAATGTTTTTGATTATTTTTTTCAATGTTTTCATTGCTTTTTCCAATGTTGCTCATTGTTTTTTCAATGTTTTTCATTTTTGATGTTTTTAAAATTTTCTCATCTGCAATTTCAATGGTATCGTATCTTATTTGAGGCTTATTTTGTGTTTTTCATATCTTCCCATGTTTTTTCCGATTGCTGCGAACCAAGCACAAGAGCGCCCATCCTCAGCTACCTTTGAAATTTGCAGGTCCATTTTCCTGAACCCATGTGTGATCCGTAATGTCATAGGATTTAAGTTGATTTAAGCCTTATTTTGTTTTTCATGTGGATTTCACAAAGTTTTTTCTGCTCGTGACAAGAAAGATTGAAAATTGATGTGAACCGAGCATATTTACCATTTTTTTTTAAAGATGCAATTCCACCTCGACAGCACCAAATTTGTGAACCCATTTGCGAACGCAAGAGTGGAAATTTTCCCATGCCAGGCTTGCTTCGTGAAGACAGGGCAGCGCATTTCTTCAAGTTGCTCCGGTGCTTACACCGGAGAGATGGCTGCTGCACTAGCTTGCAAAGTGGTGAATGACTCCAGGTTCGTGCCGTGGAAAATTTTCTTACAATCTGTGTCATGTCACGACCCTTGACTTAATTTTGTCAACTGTATCTGGTAGCAGCATGATAACCCACAAGGGCCCCAAGTCATGATCAAGACTGGATGGGGCCAAATCTCTGTTCAACATGTTTGATCAAGATTTTTTGCTCATTGGAATCGTTCAATTTTGTTCGTTCAATTAGTTGCAGGATTTCTGACATTTTCACCCACGCAAGGGGGGTCCCAAATAAGGCATAAAAAAGGATCAAAATAAGGCTTTGAACGGATCAGAATGTCTCCAACCGACATTGGCCACATCCAATCCTACCATCCAATCAATAATATCGGCTTACTGCTGGTGGCCCAGGAATTGGATGCAGGATGTCGGCAGCTGATTGTTGATCATCACAGGTGGATCAATGCAGCGACTGGTTTTGAGCTGCCACCCCCGTGCATTCACGGGAATATCTTGGAACAAGTCCGTTCAGATTGCTATGACCCAAATGCCAGTTTTTCAGAAAAACTGGCGCAAATCAATGCCAGCAGGTTACAGAAACGACAGTTTTGTTTCACCCACAACCGTTTTTGCGCGCTTCTGACAGAAGACAAACTAGTAGACATTGACGTGAGCGGATTGCCATGTCCTGACAACAGCAGGGCAAACTGGAAAAGGCTGTACCAAGAAGGCCCTTCGGGGCCAATTTACATAGTTTGGGCCAAAAAACACAAACTTGCCCGAACTCCCCTGTTGATTCTGGAGAATGTTCCGGAAGCTTGCACCGTGATGGTTCGCACTGTTTTGAATGTTGCTTTGTTTTTCGGAAATGCTTCTATAGGGTTTCCTGAAATGTCTTGCTGCAGATTGTGTGTCCCGCTTAGGATATCAAGGTCAAAGCTGTGAATGACATCTTGGGTGAGAGCTACCACATTTATCAGTTATTTGTCTCTCCGGAGGATGTCGGTCACAGTGGCATCAACAGACGCAGAACATACCTGTTCTGCTCTCACCGAGAGACTGGCAGATATGTCTACGACATTTACGAGGCGTACGCCGCAGTGTGCGCGGCAATCCGGACCAAACCTGGCACATCCCCAGCCGACTACCTGGTGGCCACGCCCACCCAAGTAGCTGCAGAGGCCATGCAGGTGGCCCACACTCGCAAGAAGACGTACAAGCACGCATCCTGGCTCCGATTGCCACATGCATGTTTTTTCGAAATCATTCATCAACGGCAGCCAGCCACTGGCTCACAAAGCGAAATTCAGATGTTGTGCCCCCGGGTCTTGCACTATTTGGCTGGGTGAAGTTTCATGGAATGGGGTGGACCCCTGGGGCGGCACTAATCTTAGACTAAGGGTAAGGGTTTGTTCCCGACGAGCACCCCCCATCCCCCCCAAGCCGGTGCAAGAGTGACAGTGCCGCGTTTTTGCAGCGGAGCGTTTAATTGCTTTTGGCGTTCGGCGCTGCCGCTTGTGTCGCGTTTCGCGCTTTGGGGCTTTCATCCGCCGCGGTTTGTGTTTGTTGCTGGTTGTGGTTGGCGGTTGTGGTCGGTGTTTGTCTTTTAGCGCTCTGGGGCTTCTGTTCGCTGGGGGGTGTTTGTCGCTGGGGGGGCTTCTGTTCGCTGGGAGGTTCTGCCCCCTCTGTTTTGCTTCTATTCCTGTTGGCGGCTGCGGATGTTTTTTGTCCTTTGATGCTGGTCGCTGCTGTTGGTGTTCCTCTTTTGGTGGCTTCTGCCCGCCCTGGGATGTGTCTGGTTTGGCGGTTGGGGTCGGTGTTTGTTGATTGGTGCTCTGGGGCTTCTGCCCGCCCTGGGCTGCCTGCTTCCTTTGGTGGTTGTGATTGGTGTTTGTCTTTTGGCGCTCTGGGACGGGACTCTTGCCCGCCCTGTGGTGTTCGTCTTACTCCTTTGGGTGGCTGTGGTTTGGGGTTGGTGTTACTCTTTCGGCTCTTTGGGGCTTCCGCCTGCTTTGCTGTGTTTCTTTTCCTTCTTGGCTGCTGTGGTGCGCATTTGTCCTTCGGTGCCGGTTCTTTGTTGGTTCCGCCTGCTCGGTCCATTTTTTGTTTCTCCCGTTTGGGCCACCTGAAGGTGGCAGGGAGGACTTGCAATGACGCTTGGTTTGTTTTATCCGAGCTTATCTGTCGATCTGCCGGTGGAAGTGCGTTCCCGGGCTGCAGCTACTGCTGTGAGCCGCCACAACCACAACAGAGACCAACAACAACAACAACGACGACGACGACGACGACGACGACAAACATTCAGATGTTGTGGTCGGGATGGTTGTTTTGATACCGGACCAAATCATTGAATTGTGTGTCTTTTCTTGGTGGCCGGTGCAGGCAGCAAAGTCCTTGGCCTATCTCTTGACCAAACGGGAAAGGAAGCAGATCGTTCTCCTCGACCGGCGCTTCAGACAGCGCTTTGGGCGAGAGCCCGCAAAAGATCCAAACCTAATCTACTACCTCGGAGACAATGTGTCATTTGCTGTCACATGGTCAGCAGTGAGCGGAGCCATCCCTTGCTTTAGGGCTCGAGGAGGCAAGTATTGGCACAGGAAGAGCCGGAGGTGGCTAGTTGCTGTCGAGCGTATGGCAGCGATGGGTTTCCCCGTCAATGAGGACCAGGCCAGGGTTATGGGAGTGAGCCCAGTGCCGTCGATGGAATCGACCCGGGTTGGCAAAGTGCTGGGAAACAGTTTTCACTACACCAATGCTGCAGTCGTCCTTCTTTGTGCGCTGTGCTGTTTTGGCCGGCAAGATCAGTGCCAGCAAAATGTTGTGTGGTAAAGGAACAGCTTGTTTAACCAAGTGCTGTTGGTGGACTAGCTTGCAACATCAATTCAAAGAACAAAGATTGCAGGTTTCGAGCGGAAAAAAAATAAAATCACCTGGGCAGTCGGGGGGATTGCTAGACTATTTGAAATCAGCAATCAATAGTAATAGTATTCTGGTTCAATTGTGCTGAGATAAAACTGTAAATTCAGAATCCTGTCGCGCAGCAAACCGCCACCATCGAAATCAGCAGTTGGGCAGTCAGGTTTGAAAAGCATTTTGTGAGCCGTTTTCTTTTCACAGCCTGTTTGACCTCTAACTGAAGCTTGAAGCTGACAGACCCAATCAGATGTCGCCCAAGAAAAAGCCGAGTGAACCTGTGGCGAAGTCTGAGCGCGGCCGTGACAGCCAGAAAAAAACGGCTGAACCCCCGCCGAAGTCTGAGCGCGGCCGTGCCAGCCAGAGAAAAACGGCTGAACCCCCGCCGAAGTCTGAGCGCGGCCGTGACAGCCAGAGAAAGGCGGCAGCAGCAGATCAGATCGCCCGAGCAGAGCCCAAGAGGAAGTCTGTCCCACCACCAGCCGAAATTGAGAGGCGCCGCAAGGATGAGAAGAAACCAGAATCCAGCATCGTGCCGGGCCCCCAGATTCGCACTAAAAGAATGCAAAAAATGTTGCAAATTACAATCAAGAAATAAAATAATATTTTAGACGCTGAGGAATTCCAAAACCCTAAGTTTCAAGAAACGGGGGTTTCATGTTCTTGTGTCGCTCAAGCTTTTGGTTAAGGTGGCACAACGGCGGCAGGCTGTCGAAGGTCAATCCTGCGACATCTGTTGGCAACCGGGCGTCCAAGAAGGGCAAGACCTATTCATCATCGTACGTCACGCTAGATAATGTGCCGGATTCAATCTTAGTTGAATGAACGCAGATCATCAACTTTAGAGTGTCAGACTGGTGATTAAGCCTTATTTTCTCGAACAATTTTCATGTCCTGATTTACAGGAAAAAACCTCATGAGTGTTCCTGCAAACTGTGACAGTGGCAAGTTTGCATTTGAGTGCAAAAGTCCGGTGTCAAAAAATGCCAATTTGGGACCCGATCCAATATTGCCAGAACGAATAGACATGGTCCTTGCTCAGGACCATCATGTCATCGATTGGCTTCGTCACGTGGACCCTGACGTCATGCCCATGCCCATGCTACAGAGAGCCACGCGGGAGGAACTGTTCTGCCTTTTGTGGATAGCAACAGGGGCTACTGTGCTGGACAAGCTTCCAACGCAGCTCTCCCGCATGTTCATGACTGATTCAAGGAAATATGGTTTAGTTTAGTTGCAATGCGATTTCACGTATACCCTGAAGTTTTTGAATTCTTGTTCGCTTTAAGCCTTATTTTGCCCATCATTGTGCATAGAGCGAGCCCTATTTTGCACATCCTAGCTGGCTCTGTTGAACTTCCCCAACCGTACTTTATTTGCCAACCTTTGTATACAACATGTGGAGCGAGCCCATTTCTTCCACATGTTGGTTTTGATTTAAGCCTTAAATTTTGAAGCGCCTCCTCCGTACATGTCTTGCCCCTTCTAAGGCACGAAAAGGAAGAGTGCAAGGACGAGTACAAGAAGGAGTACAAACGCAGAGGCTCCCTGATGAGAAGGTTCAAGTTTGATGGACGCGATGCCCGGCAGTTTGTGCTCGATTTGATGAAGACAGGGAATGGCAAGGTGCCCCGGGACATTCCCACGCAGATGATCCCTGCGGCTGCACTGGAGCCAGACTCAGCAGCTGCGCGAGAGCCACGCCGTGCTTCTCGAGTTCCTGTTCCTGAGGATGATGAGGAAGATTCCGAGGAAGACGAGGGTGATGAAATACGGGCTGGAGACTTCCGCTTCAAGTGCTTGTTCGATGAGGATCAGTGGTGGTGTCAGAAGTTTGACCTTTCAAGCCTGGAGGTTCTCAACGAGAAACCTTTGCCAATGCTTCAGACCAAGAATGGACGCACCAAGGGGTTGGGCTACTACCAGTTCAAGCGAGAGGATGGCGACATTGTGGTCTGGGCGGGCACCAAGGCCACCACCCATCGGCTTGATGATCTGTTTCAGGAGGAGGAGGAGGACGATGTGGAGAATGGTGAGGACGGGGGTGACACACCAGATTACACCTCGAAAGGCAAACGACCTGTGGGCGCTGAAGCTGCAGAAGGAGATTCTGAACCTGCCTTGAAAAAGGCTCGCAAGACCCAGACCGCAAAGGACTTGGCACCAGGCGTGTCCGCAGCCCCGGCGATGCTTCGGGGCATGAAGGCAGCTGAGAAGAACAAGCCAGGACCACAGTGTCTGGCTGAAAATCAAACCTGTTAACATCGTTCGGAATTTTAGTCCTTTTTCACCTTGGATATCCTGAGAGTTTGAAGTTTGAATCCTAGTTCGGCCTATTGTCGTTCTAGCTAATTTTACTGCAGGTTCTGAACCCTAAATTCCCCCTCGGGACCAGATATGTTCGGGGGGTCAGTTTTGGTAAATGCCCACCAGGACCAGGAGCGCCTTCAGCCTCTCTCGCAATGGGAGCTCCCCGAGTCCCGGCTCTGGTGGATGACGAGGATTCATCGAAGGAGTTTGTTTCTGAGGCGGAATCTGAGGATCGCCCATACTTGGAAACTGACGATGCTGGAAAGCAATTCCTGCACACCAAGACGCACATGATCCAAGTTGAGCCGAATGTGGTTTTCTCTATCAACAAGATGCCCTCAGGTGACTATGTCCTGGATGCTGCTGACCCATCAGCCAACCCCGGGATCAAACCCAAGTGGGTCAGTTCTCTGATGAAGAAGAAGGCGGCCATTCAGAAGTGACCTGCTGTCAAGTGCTAGATCTGGGGCAGTTCTGCAACACAGGTTTGTGGTTTCTTTCCAAAATACAGTATCTATTCTCTTTGTTCCAATGGAGCGGTGTCCGGATAAACGACTTTCAAAATTGAATAAGAGCAAAATAAGACTCAAAAGAACACTGGGCAGTTAACTGCCTCACCTTTCTCAACAAATAAGACTCTCAAAAGGTCTCTTCTTGCATTGGATGACAGAAACTGCAACCAAAACTCGAAAAAAAAACAGGCAAGGAACCCAAAACTGAGCAATTTTGAGTTTTTTTTTCCAAAATATGTCACATATGCTCTCTTTGTTCCCATGGAGCGGCGTCGGGATAAACGACTTCCAAAATTGAATAAGAACAACATAAGGCTCAAAACAACCCTGGGCAGTAAACTGCCTCACCTTTCTCAACAAATAAGACTCTCAAAAGGTCTCTTCTTGCATTGGATGACAGAAACTGCAACCAAAACTCGAAAAAAAACAGGCAAGGAACCCAGAACTTTGCATTTTTTGAGGTTTCTTTCCAAAATATGCAACATATACCCATGTGTGATTCATAATGTCATAGGATTTAAGCCTTATTTTGTGTTTCATATGGATTTCCCGAAAGTTTCTCTGCCTTTTCATTTTTCGATTGTTTTTTCAAAGTATGTTTCTTTTTTTTGTTTATTCAAACTTTTTCATTCGTTTGTTCATTGATTTTCGTTTTTTTTTCAAACTTATTCATTTTTTTCAATGTTTTTGATTACTTTTTTCAATGTTTTCATTGCTTTTTCCAATGTTGCTCATTGTTTTTTCAATGTTTTTCATTTTTGATGTTTTTAAAATTTTCTCATCTGAAAAAATAGAGAAAAACAATGAAAACAAAAGAGAAAAATAATGAAAAATAATAGGACCGGCTGGCTCGAGGACTTCGACCCGACAGCGTCTGGCTCGAGGACTTCGACCCCTACAGGGTCGTTTTGCCGCTAACGCGCGCGCGGAAAAACGAGCCCGAGGACTTCGACCCGTCCACCCGGGGTACTACAACGGGGCACTATAACGGGGAAATACAACGGGGAAACAAAACGGGGAAACAAAATGGAAAAATAAAAAATGAAAAAATGTGAAAAGTAATATCTATATTTTTTAAATTTATTTATTTAATAGCTTTAAATCAATGTGTATATGTATTTAAATCAAATGTAAATGTGAAAATCTTTTTTTTTCGAAATATATTTTTGAATTTTTTCATTTAGTTTTAATACAAATCATACTTGAAAGCGTTACAATACACATTTGTAGTAAAACTAAATGAAAAAAATGCAAAAAAAAATCGGAAAAAAATCAAAAATATATTTCGAAAAAAAATGATTTTCACATTTACATTTGATTTAAATACATATACACATTGATTTAAAGCTATTAAATAAATAAATTTAAAAAATATAGATATTACTTTTCACATTTTTTCATTTTTTATTTTTCCATTTTGTTTCCCCGTTTTGTTTCCCCGTTGTATTTCCCCGTTATAGTGCCCCGTTGTAGTACCCCGGGTGGACGGGTCGAAGTCCTCGGGCTCGTTTTTCCGCGCGCGCGTTAGCGGCAAAACGACCCTGTAGGGGTCGAAGTCCTCGAGCCAGACGCTGTCGGGTCGAAGTCCTCGAGCCAGCCGGTCCTATTATTTTTCATTATTTTTCTCTTTTGTTTTCATTGTTTTTCTCTATTTTTTCAGATGAGAAAATTTTAAAAACATCAAAAATGAAAAACATTGAAAAAACAATGAGCAACATTGGAAAAAGCAATGAAAACATTGAAAAAAGTAATCAAAAACATTGAAAAAATGAATAAGTTTGAAAAAAAAACGAAAATCAATGAACAAACGAATGAAAAAGTTTGAATAAACAAAAAAAAAAGAAACATACTTTGAAAAAACAATCGAAAAATGAAAAGGCAGAGAAACTTTCGGGAAATCCATATGAAACACAAAATAAGGCTTAAATCCTATGACATTATGAATCACACATGGGTATATGTTGCATATTTTGGAAAGAAACCTCAAAAAATGCAAAGTTCTGGGTTCCTTGCCTGTTTTTTTCGAGTTTTGGTTGCAGTTTCTGTCATCCAATGCAAGAAGAGACCTTTTGAGAGTCTTATTTGTTGAGAAAGGTGAGGCAGTTTACTGCCCAGGGTTGTTTTGAGCCTTATGCTGTTCTTATTCAATTTTGGAAGTCGTTTATCCCGACGCCGCTCCATGGGAACAAAGAGAGCATATGTGACATATTTTGGAAAAAAAAACATCAAAATTGCTCAGTTTTGGGTTCCTTGCCTGTTTTTGTTCGAGTTTTGGTTGCAGTTTCTGTCATCCAATGCAAGAAGAGGCCTTTTGAGAGTCTTATTTGTTGAGAAAGGTGAGGCAGTTTACTGCCTAGGGTTGTTTTGAGTCTTATTTTGTTCTTATTCAATTTTGAAAGTCGTTTATCTGGACACCGCTCCATGGGAACAAAGAGAGCATATGTGACATATTTTGGAAAAAAACCTCAAAAAATGCAAAGTTCTGGGTTCCTTGCCTGTTTTTTTCGAGTTTTGGTTGCAGTTTCTGTCATCCAATGCAAGAAGAGACCTTTTGAGAGTCTTATTTGTTGAGAAAGGTGAGGCAGTTTACTGCCCAGGGTTGTTTTGAGCCTTATGTTGTTCTTATTCAATTTTGGAAGTCGTTTATCCCGACGCCGCTCCATGGGAACAAAGAGAGCATATGTGACATATTTTGGAAAAAAAACATCAAAATTTTTAAATATGTATGCTCTCTTTGTTCCCATGGAGCGGTGTCGGGATAAACGACTTTCAAAATTGAATAAGAACAAAATAAGACTCAAAACAACCCTGGGCAGTAAACTGCCTCACCTTTCTCAACAAATAAGACTCAAAAGGTCTCTTCATTTTGACAGGAAAAATTGATCGTGATAAAAGAAAACATTGGGGCCGGGGGAATCCAGAACTCAGCATCTCATCTCAGGTCAGATGACATGGAAGAACCCGAAGAAGAAGAAGAAATCCCAGAGTTTCCTGAGCATCCGCCAGAAGAACAGAGAGCTAGGGCTTTGGTTCAGGGTGGCCAGCTCTCGGAAGCTGGACTGGCAAAGTTTGCCGACGAGGAATCCTTGAAAGACCTGTTGGCAGCTGCGCTCAAGGAGAAAGCCACCCAGTTGATCAACGAAGCCGGCCAGCTCGATCTGACAGAAGTGGCCAACGCCTTGCTGGTCCAGAAGAACACGCTGCAGACGTACATCGATGAGGTCGGGGTCCTACTTGCGGACTTGAATTCTGCAAAGGATGAACTGCTGGCAAAGGTCTCCTCCCTTGGGCATGGGGTTCCTCGAGCCCCCGATGGCGACCAGCAGACACTTCCCGTCACGGAGGGCACTCGCAAAGAAGCAGAGGGAGCACCATCGGCAGGTGCTGTTGACGCATTGGCAGCCAATCCGGGTGGCTCTGGTGGTCTGGCTATTGGTGACGGCACTGAGGGGGAGCAGGCTGAGGGAAAGTAAGTAGGATAAAGCTTTGCCAGCATGAGCAGAGCGATGACAAGTGCAGCCGCGTGCCAAAGCCGCGCACGAGTGTAGCAAGCCTTCCAGTTTCCATAGTGCACTTTCAATTTTCAGATTTGAATTTTGCCAAGACCGACCCAATGATTTTCTGATTGGACCATTTCTGATCATTTTTGCGCCATGGCACGGCACTGTACGACTCTTCTATGGCTCGGCTCTGGATGCCTGAGCACTTTTTGATGTGAATCCAGGGCTTCATTCTGATTGATTTTCTTACCACAGACAAATATTGCTTCGGTAGATGAACTCCTGGTTGGTTCTCTGAGACTAAGATCCCGTTGCCTTTTTGGCCGGTGGATCAAAACAGGACATTGCGCGCGACTCCTTTAAAGTGACTCATTCTGTTCATCAAACAAAATGACTGACAATTTGGACAGGCTTGGACTTGGGCTTGGTCTAAGGCCCTCAAGAAACACATCCTGAAGAGCAACGCTGATGACACTGCTGCGCTGAGGCAGATAGTTGGTTGGGCAATTCAGTTGGTTCAGCTGACAGGTTTGAGGCTTATTTGGGGTTTCAAAATTTAAGGATCAAGTCTAGTTTCTGGTCAATAATATTAGTGACACTTTACTTAAAAGTCGTATTTTGCCAATCCGACAGGGGCTGAAAGACACAACGCATCCAGGAAATTCAAGAAAATGTCCAACACAGTGTATGCAACTTGCCTGCATTTGCCTGCGCTCGGCCGGATTTAAGCTCATTCTGGCGGAAGAGGACAAAAATAACACTCTTCAAATACCCAGTCATTCAGAATTCAAGAAAAAGATGCAGATTCAAAGCGCGAAAGATAAGTACCAATGTTTCAAACTCGAAGCTAAAATAGAACTTAAAGGCTTACAGGATCTGGGGAAAGTTTCTAGTCACATGTGCTTGAGTCAAGTGAGGCCCTCCTTCGCGGACTTTGCCACTCATTGCGGATCTTGGCTGATGTGACCTTGGATGCCTTCGCAGCTGGCCCCGCTCACATGAATGGGACTTTGCCGGACATTTCAAGACTACCTCCTCTCTCTGATCGCTATTTCCTCAAAGCAGTGAAAGACTTAGATTATACACCCAAGACCTCAACCAAACTGAGCACTATTTGTTCGAAAGGACGTTCCCTTTTTCAGTCAAATTTCAAAACGCAGACCGTTCCAGCCAAGGTCTGCGACGAGGAGGCTGTGCAACATAAGGCTTTGCATTTCCTCTTCGGAGTCCTAAAGCTACGTGGGGTACCAGAGGCTGAATGTTGCCACCCCCTATGGGGGGACTACAAGCGTGCTTTAGACTCGTCCACCATGCTTGGCATTGCTCTAAAAGCCACTTTCCTGACGAACATGTTGCACGGGCCATTCTTGAGTGGCGCGGGATTTGAAGATTTCAAAGCATGCGCGCATGATCTTATGGAGAAATGTTCGGATACCTATTTAGCAGAATGCAGTGATGACATCTGTTTTGACCTTGGTCTCCCTGGCGGATCCTACACAATTACCCGAGAAGACTGGCTTGAATCGGACATTGTACGAAAACGGACTCCATTTGTATTTTGGCTACACCGTCCCATTTTCCTGTTTTCTCCAATTCCTGTTTTTCCTTTTTTTCTTTACACCTTCCCGTTCATATGCCCCAGCCCTTCCTAAGGCAAAAGGGAAAGCATGGTTTGGGGTGATGCAATCATTTACTGCTCTCCAAAGGGGCTGGACTATCTACAGGGAGACCTTGCGCCATGCTTTGGACTTGGAGGCAACTCGCTGTTTCCACCTGTTTAGCTTTACTGAATTGCTTTCTTTCAGCCCCAGCTTTTACAGCATCAGTGTGGGCTCGGCTCATTCAATCCGACTCCTCGGAACTCGTTGCCCCACAAAATAAGCTGAGATGAATCTAATTTAAGCCTTATTTCTCCGAGCCCCGAGCAGCGCAGTGCAGTTCAAATCAGAATGACAAAAAACTCCCAGAGCAGGAAAAACAGTAAGATCAGAACTAGCTGCCACCGAGGCAGACGACATTGGCAACGACGAAGCGGACGATGAGGAGGCCGCAGCAGAACCCAACAAGGAACTTGGCCAACAGGTTCCTGACGAGGACCCCCGCCCAAAGAACAGAAAAGAATTCAATGAGTTACGCAAGAAATACAAGAACCGTTTTCAGATGGCGTTTGCTTTCCTCTCAGAAAGGGACTTGCAGGTTCAGATCAGGATGATCGTCCAGGGATTGGAATATTTTCATGAAGAATACTCCATCCACCTGAATGCCCACAAGCTTGGGCAAACCAATTTGGCCATTTGGTCTGGCCTGCGGTCTCAGGGCAAATACATGGCTGACACAGTCAGGCAAACCATGAATTTGCTCTCATCAGCGTCCGTCATGTCGGACTTTGGTCTCACTCCATGCTTTGGTGTGCCTCTGCGCATCGATGCGCCAATGGCACAAGCCGAATCCAAGTTGGCAAAGCTGTTCTTCAATTTCATTGTGGACTTGAGCGCCAACCGTGTGTGGAGCCAGATGCACTTTCAGTGGTGCATGCCGTACGCTTGCTCTCAAATTTTTTTGCCATCAAAGGAACACAAACAGGTTCAATTTGCATTGAAAAAACTGACCCAAGCAATTCTGAAGTTGGAAAGGGCCTGCATGGACCAACCAAAGAATGTCAAACTACAGGCGTTGCACCAACGGCTGGCCACAAATGGGTGGCCGTATACCCGTGAGCTGATGGCTCAAGGTGAGAGTTGCGAGTGGGACTTGCAGAATCAAGATCTCCGGGATTTGGTGTATGCAATGGTAGCAGGGCCATCTCAAACGAAGACAGTACTGGAAGACACCTTTGGATGGCTACAAGATAGCGCTCAAAGGCAATCAAAGGCCTTCAAAATGAGTATTGCAACCAGGAACGCATATAGTATGATATGCCCATATCCTGCAGCAGGGGGTTGTCCCCAAGTTGCCCCTTCCAAAGCAGATTTCACCGGGCTGACAGCACAGAAGGCTCTCAGTTTTTTCAACCTCAAACCCTTTGACAGCCGCAGCACATCTGTCCCAGTTGACTCAAAAGGAAGTCCCCTGATGACAGCAGAGTTGTTGCAAAACCATTGGCGCAAAGCCGGTTTCTATGCAAACAGGGAAGGTGCAGCAGCCTCAGCTTTCATTTTCATGTTTGCTGATTCCAATTTTGCATCTTTGGACAAGATTTGGGCAGGCTACTTGCTTGCACAAAATCACCAAGATTTTTGAAACGTTCTGAGCACTATTTTGGATTATGTGAGAGTGTTCCGAGCAATTGTTTTGGAATCTGCAGGATGTTTGGACATTTTTGAAGACTATTTTTGAAACTCAAGGGCCTGTGCGAGCTGTATTTGCATCCCGATTTCAAGTCATCCTCTCCTAGGTTCCCTTTTGGTGCACCGAGAGGTGTATCTGAACACCCGCAGCGGCAGAAGCTGGCTCAGCATGGGTTTTTTCTCCTATGCTGGAGTTGCATACCCTTTGCAAGCGATGAATGTTGCCACTGGCGATGGGGTTGAGGAGCGGGCTGGGATTTCCAGGGGGAAACAAAAATAAGGCTCAGATGTTGGTCAACTGGCCACACATGTGCCATTTTTGTGTCATACTGTGTTTAGTTGGGAACATATCACCCAGGGGGAAAAAATAAGGCTCAGATGTTGGTCAACTGGCCACTGGCCAGGAGGAGAGGGTGTTCAAGCTCAAATTCGGTGACGGGACGAAGCCGTCGTTTATTTTCAACACAGACGCTGGGGAACAGAGCCCATGGAAACATATTCCCACAGTGTTGCTTCCTCCCTGTTCTGCCCCGAGGGGCTTTGAAGGTGTCTGCCTACGACAGACAGGTCCGCAACAGGAATTGGTCCGGGCCGCCATTTTGCTGGGAGAAAATTTCACAAGGGATCAGCTCGTTGAAATTCTGTCTTCGGCATCAGTGGAGACTGAAAAGAGGCCAAAATCGATGAGGAAACCAGAGCTAGTCGAGGCAGTTGTTCAACACTTCTTTCCTGACTTGCCGAAAGAAGAACAAGATTCGATCAAGGAACGGATGTGTGCAAACAGCAGCAATACCAAAAAGTTGGATTGCCCGCAGGATGTTGTGGAGGCAGTGAGTGAGATGGACGTATCAGAAGTCAAACATTTTGACAAACTGCGGGAGCAGGCAAAGGAGCAGCTCGAGCACATCAAGAACAAACTTCTTGAGACTGTCTTTGAGGAGAAATTTCAAGCCAAAGCTGCCAAGCAGCGTGCTCAGCATGAGCCTGTTCCTCACCCAGAAGAACCTCCACCCTTCGTTCCTGCTCCCCCTGGACCGGGGGCGGGTGTTGCCAGAGAAGCGCCACCCGCCAAGGAGAGGGCTGAGGTCAGAACCCGCACTGTTTCCCCACAAGAGTTGAAGGACTGCCTACCGGACGTCCCGGGTCTCTTTTTGAGATGGGAACCAAACTACCGACGAGTAGCTGTGAATTTCAGTCGTAGCTGGTTTTGTGTTTAGTAGATTCTATTTTATTGGTGGCAAATGTCGTTTGGGGAATGCTTGTCCTATTCCTTTCGTGGCCGACCCTGCCCCAGCTTCCCTTGCACAAGGTTTGACCAAGGGCCAGAAGACCAAAACAAAGACATGGGAAGAGTCGCGAACGGTGGAGGATAAGGTCTTTGCGCTTCGAATTGTTTTCACATTTGTCGAAGGCACCTACCATTCCCACTACAAGGATGATGTGCGATACAACAGTGCTTACAAAATGTCAAATGCTCAGTCGTCATTGAATTGAATCTTTCCCTTGTCAGGAATTTTACGTCGTTTTTCCTCCATTTCTTTATGTTGGGTCTTGCGCATTTGCACGGAGATACGTTGAGCCTTATTTTGCTGGCTGAGGTGTTGAAAACAATGACAAAAGAGAAAACCACAAAAAATCAACACATTAAAAATGCTTGTATATAAATGGTAAAACAATGGCAACAGTGCCAAAAGCAAAAGTTCGAAATGCAAAATGGAATGCTAACAAAACAAAAACGGCTTAAATTAACCCAGCTTTGCAACGCAACAGCAGGTTCCAGGATTCCAGGTTTTCATGGTTCCATGTTTCCAAGGTTCCAGCGTTCATTGCTTCCATGGCTCCAAGGTTCCAAGGTTCCAGCGACCCAGGGTTCCGGTTGTGTTCTGGCTTCTGGGCCCGGCAAAAAAAACAGTGCACCTGGAAGCAAAAGCAAAATAAGGCTCAGATGTTGGTCAACTGGCTACAGGTGTGCCATTTTTGTGTCATACCGTCTCCGGGGTCGGCAGCAGGGAAAAACTTGAGAACATATCACCGAGGGGGAAAACAAAAATAAGGCTCCGATGTTGGTCAACCGGCTACAGGTGTGCCATTTTTGTGTCATACCGTCTCTGGGGTCGGCAGCAGGGTAAAATTAAGAACGCGTTGAGAACATATCACCCAGGGAAAAACAAAAATAAGGCTCAGATGTTGGTCAACTGGCTACAGGTGTGCCATTTTTTGTGTCATACCGTCTCTGGGGTCGGCAGCACGGTAAAAGTTGAGAACGTGTTGAGAACATATCACCCAGTGGGAAAACAAAAATAAGGCTCAGATGTTGGTCAACTGGCTACAGGTGTGCCATTTTTGTGTCATACTGTCTCTGGGGTCGGCAGCAGGGTAAAAGTTGAGAACGTGCTGAGAACATATCACCCAGGGAGAAACAAAAATAAGGCTCCGATGCTGGTCAGCTGGCTACAGGTGTGCCATTCTTGTGTCATACCGTCTCTGGGGTCGGCAGCAGGGAAAAGTTAAGAACGTATCACCGAGGGGGAAAACAAAAATAAGGCTCAGATGTTGGTCAACTGGCTACAGGTGTGCCTTTTTTGCGTCATACCGTCTCTGGGGTCGGCAGCAGGGAAAAAGTTGAGAACATATCACCGAGGGGGAAAACAAAAATAAGGCTCAGATGTTGGTCAACTGGCTACAGGTGTGCCATTTTTTGTGTCATACCGTCTATGGGGTCGGCAGCAGGGAAAAACTTGAGAACATATCACCGAGGGGGAAAACAAAAATAAGGCTCAAATGTTAGTCAACTGGCTACAGGTGTGCCATTCTTGTGTCATACCGTCTCTGGGGTCGGCAGCAGGGAAAAGTTAAGAACGTATCACCGAGGGGGAAAACAAAAATAAGGCTCAGATGTTGGTCAACTGGCTACAGGTGTGCCTTTTTTGCGTCATACCGTCTCTGGGGTCGGCAGCAGGGAAAAAGTTGAGAACATATCACCGAGGGGGAAAACAAAAATAAGGCTCCGATGTTGGTCAACCGGCTACAGGTGTGCCATTTTTGTGTCATACCGTCTCTGGGGTCGGCAGCAGGGTAAAATTAAGAACGCGTTGAGAACATATCACCCAGGGAAAAACAAAAATAAGGCTCAGATGTTGGTCAACTGGCTGCATGTGTGCCTTTTTTGTGTCATACCGTCTCTGGGGTCGGCAGCAGGGTAAAAGTTGAGAACGTGCTGAGAACATATCACCCAGGGGGAAAACAAAAATAAGGCTCAGATGTTGGTCAACTGGCTACAGGTGTGCCATTTTGTGTCACGCCATCTCTGTGGTCGGCAGCAGGGGCTCAGCTTCAGAAAATAAACTGTATGCAAAGACGTTAAAACGCTGGCACCTCTGATTCGATAGAAGAAGACTTAAAATCGATTGAAGAAACCTTTCCAATTGCAAACTCATCTCGTTCACCAAAGCAGTCAGTCACGATCCGATCCAAACTAAGGCCCAGCAAGGAGGCACTTCTGGAGGCTGTCACACAAATCGATGCCCGATTGGGTGCTGCAGGTTAGAAGCTGTCACAAAAGCTTGGCCCCAAAGCTCGTTTGAGTGCTAATTTATTGATCCCTCAAGATTCTTGAAGGTTTAAGCGCTAAATCTGTTCAGGGGAAGCAACATATATAACTAAAACGGACCAACAATAGCGCTCAATATCAATGTTTGAGAGACATGAATTTGGGGAAGCGATTAGGTGCTGCAGGTTAGAAACAACTTGCAACTTTCACAAAGTGAAAGCTCCGTCACAAAGTGGCAGTGATTTCAAACTCAAGAGGAGTATGCTCGAAAAATCAGTTTGTTCCAGTGACCCACATCACCTGGATAGCGTTTTCCATTTTATGCGTTCCCTTCTATGTTTGGCCCCAAAGTACATTTGAGTGCTAAATTTTGTTGGGAAGATCCCTCAAGATTCCTGCAGATTTAAGCGCTAAATTTGTTTAGGGCAAGCAACAAAAAGGGCCAAAAATTGCGCTCAATAAGCATGTTTGAGAGAAATGAATTTGGGGGGAAGCGTTTGGGGGGTCCTGAAAATGACCCTATGAATATGACAATCAACTGTGATAATCTAAATATACTTACTTTATATAATGGTAACCTGGTTCACCTGAACAATAATCAACAATATGATACAACTAATCACTAGTCTATTCTATAGTGTTAAACGACTTGGTACACAATACTGTTTAGTACTTTAACTTTCTACCATCAAAAATATAAATAGCTACTGTGAATATATTGCATAGGTATCACCCGTTATTACCCAGCTCAGAACAAGTCTTTAGCAGAGATGAGGATTATAGTTGGTTCTGATCCATCTACCAGACATGCCCTGAAAAAAAGGACAGATGGAAAAAGATGTTCGTCATGGCAGCGAGCCATACAACTAGATAATATTAGATAACTAATTCTTATTCTATACTATCCAATTGGATACTATCATTGGATCATATACACAAGTTCAATCATACCCTGGACCCACAATTTGCGGAGGCATGGCATTTGATCAAGGGCTATCATTGATGGTCCCCTTCATCTCTACGGAAACTGATGGTTTAAAACCATTGGATTTGAATTTCCACTCCTTTTCAGCTACATATGAAACATGATTTTAATATAGATTAAATTAACGATTAATTCTAACTATAAAATTTCCATAGTTTGACAATATTCATGGCTTCCAGAGTGAAGCATTGGATCTCTTGTCTTGGACGTCGCCAGGAAAAGCCCGGCTTCCCATGTCGCCAGGAAAAGGTTTGAAGATCGATCCAGACATGAAACCCGTCCTGGAGGTGCTTATCAGTGACAGCGAGGCGGCTCTGCTGCGCTGCTCTCCAAAAAGCCATCGGATGTTCCCCTCAGACCGAAGGAAGCCAAGGTGATTTTTCACCAGCAAAAGGGGAAATTTTTCATGGGATTGTGGTTATGAGGTTTTCGTAGCGAACTGGAAAGTCTCAGTTCTTGATAGGTCAATCATCATTTTATCATCTATAAATGGGCCATGTTCCACAGCTATGTGAAATAACCAGAGGGTAACCATAACAAAATATATATGTTTATGGAGTCATAATAGGAATCTAATGGGATATACATATATATATATTATATATATAGCTGATGTAACTCTAACCAACTTAATATTATGTTTTGGTTAAAATGGGATACTGTATCATATCCTAGTTTATGGGATAGAACTGATACAAGCAACTTGATATGATACCCTCTGGTAAACTAACATAACTATGGAAAATCACCATTTTCAATGGGAAAATCCAAAGCACGGGCAAAAGGGGCCCAGAAATGCGACCAGAAGCCGAGAAGCCGAGAAGCCCGACACAAGCCGAGAAGCCGAGAAGCGGAGAAGCCGCGAAGCCGCGAAGTACGACACAAGCCGAGAAGCCGAGAAGCCGCGAAGCCGAAAAGCCACCTGACAAGCCGAGAAGCCGAGAAGCCGAGGCAGCCGAGAAGCCACCGGACAAGCCGAGAAGCCGAGAAGCCGCGAAGCCACCGGACACGGCGAGAAGCCGAGAAGCCGAGAAGCCGCGAAGCCGAGGGGCCGCCGGGCAAGCCGAGAAGCCGAGAAGCCGCGAAGCCGAGGAGCCGCCGGGCAAGCCGAGAAGCCGAGAAGGCGAGAAGCCACCGGAGCCGCCGGGCAAGCCGAGAAGCCGAGAAGCCACCGGACAAGCCGAGAAGCCGAGAAGCCGAGAAGCCACCGGACAAGCTGAGACAGTAGCCCTGGCAGCTGAGACAGTAGCCCTGGCACCCCCTCTGAACATTATGTTGCATCTTCACCATCACAAGACATCAACGCCCCAACCCCCTGTGAACAATGCGTTGCACTTTGAGACATCAGCCCCGCGACCCCCTTTGAATATATGTTACATCTTCGAAGATCAACCCAGCGACCCCCTCTGAACACTACCTCGCCCCGTTAAACTTCTACACTCGTCGAAGATCTTCAATAAGGGTTTAGTTCTTTCAGCCCTGTTAAACTTCTACATTCATCGAAGATCTTCAATGAGGGTTTAATTCTCCCAGCCCAGTGAAACTTCTACATTCACTGAAGATCTGCAGCAATAAGGGTTTAATTCTCCCCAGCCCCGTTAAACTTCT